CCATGCTGCAACCTCTCCTCCATTCTCCTCTCCGGAATTTGGACAGGCATGCATGCACATGTGCCCGGTGTGGGTTTCAAGCCTCCAGGTCCAGGACTCAAACTGCAGTCAGCTACAGAGGAGTTCAGTGACATAACCATTATGCCATCCGCTGGTCCCAAAAAAAAACAAGTTTTGATTGCATTATCCTAAACTGATTTTATCTCTAATGCAAAGGAAACGCCACTCCCGTCTTAAGGCGAGAACATGATTTGAAGCGCACAGCATGGCTTTGAAGCAAGGTGCTTGAGTGTCTGCAATCATGTTTTTGTCATTCTGGGTGTGGGGACAGAACAGCACTGGGCCCTGAGACACCCAACCATCAGTGCCCACAAACCCGGCCCAGTGAGCGGCTTTCGCTGCAAGGACAAAGTAGGGAAAAATACGATTCCAAAACGGTGAGCCCCTATCAGGCAGCCGCGAAGTGCAGACAGCATCTGGATACTGATTTGCACAAACCAGCCGTAAACGACCATTTATGACACACCTGAACACATGCTACTCACTGGTTTCAATGAGTAATGAGGTCATGGTGGGGTTAAAGAGGTCATGGTGGGGCTGGCAGGTGGCATGGTGATTAAAGGCGCTGGACTCCCACATGGCCGAAGATGGCCGACCGCGGTTGAGGTCCTGGACCTGGCCACTTGCTTTCTCACTTTCTTTCTCCCTCTCTAGTTAAATTAAAATAAATAAGTAAAGATAAATAAAATAATTCTTTAAAAAAATAAATAAAAGAGGTAATGGCACTGAGGTTCATTTCCATTAACCCAGTGAGGAGGGTCAAGACCGGGTGTAGGAAAAACTGGGTGAGGGGTATGGGGGGGTTAGTTATACTAGTTTATCGCTTATATATTAGATACTGCTTTTTAAAAGAATTATTTAATTTTATTTATGCATTCATTTAATTAGTTTATTCATTTTCATTTGACCAGAAAGACAGAGAGAGAGAGAGAGGGAAAGTGAGAAAGCAAGCCACCAGGTCCGAGACTCGAACTGTGGTCAGCCATGTGGGAGTCCAATGCCCTTATCCACCACGCCACCTACCGGCCCCTAGTTACTGCTTTTATGAGTGCTGGAAATCTTCCAACATAAATAATTCATTTAATTAGTTTATTCATTTTCATTTGACCAGAAAGACAGAGAGAGAGAGAGAGGGAAAGTGAGAAAGCAAGCCACCAGGTCCGAGACTCGAACTGTGGTCAGCCATGTGGGAGTCCAATGCCCTTATCCACCACGCCACCTACCGGCCCCTAGTTACTGCTTTTATGAGTGCTGGAAATCTTCCAACATAAATACTTAGAGCCGAGGGCCAGCAGGTGGTGTGGTGAAGGCGCTGGACTCACACATGGTTAACCATGGTTCGAGTCCCGGACCTGGCAGCTTGCTTTCTCACTTTCTCCATCTCTCTCTCTCTTTTTCTCTCTCTCTGGTGAGCACACAAGCCCTTTAGCAAAATTTTAAAAATAATAATAATAATAATTTAAGGAGAAAAAGGTTATAGCCAGCCAGGTGGCATGGAGGTTAAGGTGGCTGGATGCCACACAAACAACTACATGGTTCAAGTCCCAGGACCAGTGGCTTGAAAAACACGCTGGGCATGTGTGCGTCCCCGAAATCCCAAGAAGAGAATGCAGAAGGGATTATGGGATGGCCATGCCCATGGAGGAAGTGATTTTTCCTCCCCACACCCTGTCTTGTCTCTCTCCAGGGAGCGCACGTGCCCGATGGCAGCAAGGGGAAAAAAGAGTTGAACCAGCCAAATCTGCCTTAGAGGGCTGTACAAAGTGCTGTTGCAGTTTAAAGCAGATGCCGGTGAGTTTGTGCTGTCAAGGCCAGTTAGTAAATACTTTCGGCTTTGCAGCCAAACTTCCTGGTCAAGGCTCACCTCTACCCTGACAGAGCCAAGGCAGCCCTAGACCACACACAGAGCCTGGCTGGGCACAGCCGTGTTCCCACAAAACGGTATTTATGGGCACCAGCATTTAATTCCATGTGACAGCCGTGGGCCAGCAAATAGTCTTCTTTCCACTTTTTAAAATTGATTATTTTCTTTATAAAGAATTATTTTATTTAACTTTATTTATAATTTGACCAGAGAGGGACAGAGAGAGCAAGAAAGTAAGAAAACAAGAAAGCAAACTGCCAGGTCGGGGACCTGAACCATGGTCAGCCATGAGGGAGTCCAGCACCCTTAACCACCACGCCACCTCCTGGCCCCTTAAAATTTATTTTTATTTAACTTTATTTTAATTTGACCAGAGAGGGACAGCGTGAGAGAGAGAGAGAGAGGGAAAGTGAGAAACCAAATTGCCAGGTCCAGGAGGCAACCTACAGTCGACCATGTGGAAGTCCAGCCCACTTCACCAAGCCACCTGCAGGCCCCTCTCTTTCAATTAAAGAAAAAAATTTTAAGGGGACCAGCAGGTGGCGTGGTGGTTAAGGCGCTGGACACTCCCACATGGCCGACCAGGGTTCAAGTCCTGAATCTGGTGGCTTGCTTTCTCACTTCCTCTCTCATTCTCACCCTCTGTCTCTCTGCTCAGAGCTAAAAAATAAATGAATGAATAAATAAAATAAATGATTATTTAAAAAAAAAAAAAGAAAGAAAAAAATTTTAAGGGGACCAGCAGGTGGCGTGGTGGTTAAGGCGCTGGACACTCCCACATGGTCGACCAGGGTTTGAGTCCTGAATCTGGCGGCTTGTTTTCTCACCTTCCATATCTCTCTCTCCCCATATCTGGTCAAATTAAAATAAATATGGGACCAGCGGGTGGCATGGTGGTTAAGGTGCTAGACGTTCCCACATGGCTGACCACGGTTCGAGTCCTGGACCTGGTGGCTTGCTTTCTCACTTTCCCTCTCTCTCTATGTCTAACGCTGGTCAAATTAAAAGAAAACAATGAATGGATAAATAAATAAAAAGAAATTTTTTTTAATAAATAAAATAAAAATAAATAAATAAAGTTAAATAAAATAACCTTTTTTTTGAGAGGTTTTTGCTATAGGGCGCGTGCGCTCGCCAGACAGACAGAGAGACAGAGAGATAGAAAGCAAGAAATCACCCCCCTGGGGGGATGGCCACGCCGCAATCCCTTCTCCTCTCGGGATCTTGGGCACACACGCACACACATCCGGTGTGAGTTTTAAGCCACCGGATCTGGGACTCGGACTGCGGTCGACTACATGGGAGTCCAGCGACATAGCCATTATGCTAATTGCTGGTCCCAATAAAATAACTTCTTTTAACTTAAATACCTAAAACCATTCTTAGCTCATGGCCCATGAACTGGGAGGAACTTGTGCGCCTGGGCTGTTAAAAATCAACCCAGGTAACCCTGAGTAGGTAAGGGACTTTAGGGAAACAACAGGTGGGAAAATATGTGGTGCAAAATAGAAAACAATACACACGCACATACACACACGCACGCGTGTGCACACGGCCTTAACTGTTAGTCTCTCCCTACTGGAGTCTCTAGGTTTTCTGGACTTAACTACACTATGAGATATCTTCCTAGTAAATTCACAGTAAAAACTATAAACTGGGGACCAGCAGTTAGCATAATCGCTATGTCGCTGGACTCTCACGTACTCGACCGCGGTTCAAGTCCTGGACCCGGTGGCTTAAACTCACGCCGGGTGCGTGTGTGTGTGTGTGTGCCCAAGATCCCAAGAGGAGAATGGAGGAGAAGGGATTGCTGCGTGGCCATCCTCCCTGGGGGGTGATTTTTCTCTGTCTCTCTGTCTGGCGAGCGCACGCGCCCTATAGCATAAACCTCTCCAAAAAAAAATAAAAACTATAAACTGATTTTTCAAATACTAGGGAGGTGGGGCGGCAGGTGAGGTGGTGCTTAAGGCACTGGACTCCCACAAGGTCGACAGTGGTTCGAGTCCTGGACCTACCAGCTCTATTTCTCACTTTCTCTCTCTCTCTTGCTCTATGGTAAATTTAAATAAATAAAGTTGAATAAGATAATTCTAAAATACATAAATAAAATACCAGTGCCAGGACCAGCAGGTGGTGTGGCGGTTAAGGTGCTAGACTCCCCACACACGGGCGACGACGGTTCAAGGCCCGGTCCAGCAGCTTGGAAATGAGCTGAACATGTGTGCGTACTGTGCCCAGAATCCCCCGAGAAGAGGGAGAGCGCGCTGCCCTACGGCAAAATCCTTGAAAAATAAAAACAAAACCCACCAATGCCTCTTGGACATGAATTTTACTGACCGTTCTGTGGTCTCTGACCTAGTGGTCTCTGCCCTACCGGCGAACGCGCCCTCACCGCTACAAGAGGCTGGTTCCAAAGCTTGAGCCTCGAGCCCTCGTCCCAGCTCCAGGCAGGTCCCAACCCGCCGGCCGCGCGCTCTCCTCCCTCCGACACTGGGCGGACCCCAACTCTCGGGCGGCGCGCCCTCCCCGAGGGCACCGAGCAGGTCCCAAAGCTCGGATCGCGCCCTCCTCCCAGAACCCAGCAAGTCCGGACCCGCTAGCCGCGCGGCCTCTCCTCTGCACCCCGCAGGTCCCAACGCCCGAGCCGCGCGGCTTCTCCCCTGCACGTGGCGTGTCCCAACCCTCCGGCCGAGCGCCCTCCTCCTTTGGCTCTGGGCAGATCCCAAAGCCCAGGCCGCACCCCTTCCCCCGGTACCCGGCATCGCAACTCCTCGTTCGCGCGCCCTCCTTCCGGCACCGGGCAGGTCCCAAAGCCAGAGCAGAGCGCGCTCTTCCCAGGACCCGCAGGTCTAGACCTGCGGGCCGCGCGCCCTCTCCCCTGCTGGGGTTGGGTCCTAACGCCTGAGCCTCGCGCCTACCCCTGTGGAGGGCAGGTCCCAAAGCCCGGGCTGCATGCCACTCCCTGCACCGACCCGGTAGGTCGCAACTGCTCGGCGGCCAGCCCTCCCTCCTGCATCAGGCAGGTCCCAAGGCCCGGGCCACGCGCCCTCTCCCTTGCACCGGGCAGGCCCCTCACCTAGGCAGCCGAGCACGTCGCAGGCCGCGGAGGCGCGCAGGATGCGGGCGGAGGCCAGCTGGGAGGTGGAGGGGGCCCCGGAGCCCGCGGGCCGGCGCCCGGGCAGCAGCTGCAGGAGGCCGAGCGTCAGGCGGAGCGCGCCGCTGCCCAGGCACAGCGCGTGGAACGCCCGCGGCTGGAAGCTCAGCACCAGCTGTGTGGCCGCGTCCCGCGTGGGGCAGCAGAAGGTCCCCAGGCGCGGGGAGGCCATGGGCCGTGCTCTGGGATGCGGATCAGGTCTGCCCCGGTCTCCGCCGGCCGGCCTCGGTCATGTGCCGAGCGGGCTGGGGGAGCATCATGTGCCCCGGCCTCCCTCACCCCAGCCCCCTGCGCCGGCAGAAAAGGCGCCAGGCTCTGGGGGGGCAGTGAGCCTCTGCAAACGCCACGAGGCCTCACGAGGGGACGCCTGGGCGGGGGGAGGAGGGGGAGGTCGGCCGTCTCCCCACTCCCCAAGCCCTCCGGTTGGTTTAATTCTCCTGGATCGGGAGCCCCCACCTCTCACCTTCCCAGAGCTGGTCTTACTGGAAAAACATGCCTCACGAGCCCCCTCATTTCAGTCCCGGACGCCAATGTCCTGATTGGATGCCTTTCTGCACCGGAAACTTGATGCCTATAAAACAGAGGCTGTTGTGTTTGTTTGTTTTTAACTTGCCAGAGGGGTGAGTGCTGGCCAGAGCGGGAGGAGAGAGCACCCCCAGCGGCGTCGGGACCGGTCACACTGCAATGCCTTCTCTTCCTCTCGCCCTCCATTTGGGATTTTGGACACGCACACGCACTCCACGTGTTTCTCAAGCAGCCTGGACTCAAACCATGCTGTCCGTCACATGGGATCCAGTTGCTTTAACCACCAGGCCACGGAGCCGGCCTTTGATTTCTCTTGAAAAACTTAAATTTTTACTTCGGCATAATCTCAGGTCTATAGGAAAAGTTGCTAAAATAGTAGAGAAAGATCACAAATAGTCTCCACCCGGTTTCCTCCTGTGTGAACCAGCCTCTCAGGCCAGGGGCGGGCCTCCAAAATAGTGCTTTGTTAAGAGTGTATTTCTTTCATTTTATTTATTAGTATCTTTTTTTTTTTAATCATGTGCGTGTGTGTGCATAAATATTTTTTTTTTAAAGAATGGTTTTATTTAGCTTTATTTATTTATTTATTTAACTAGAGAGGGACAGAGTGAGAGAGAAAGTGAGAAAGCAAGCCACCAGGTCCAGGACTTGAACCATGGTCAGCCATGTGGGAGTCCAGCGCCCTTAACCACCATGCCACCTGCCGGCCCCTATTGGTTAGTATCTTTTAATTTGCTATAGGCCACGTGTACTCACCAGAGAGAGAGAAAGTGATAAAGTAAGCTTCTGGGTCTGGGATTTGAACTGTCATTGGCCATGGGGGAGTCCAATGCATTAGCCACCATGCCACTTGCTGGCCCCAATAGTGCTTTTTTAAAAATTACTTTTTTTAAACTTTATTATTATTATTATTAATTTGACCACAGAAAGACAGAAAGAGAAAGTGAGAAAGCAAGCTGCCAGATCCGAGACGTGAACTGCAGTCGGCCATATGGAAGTCCAGTATCTTTAACCACCATGCCACCTGCCAGCCCCAGTTGTGTGGTTTTGTTTTTCTTGAGAGGTTTTTGCTATAGGGCGTGTGCGCTCACCAGAGAGACAGAGAGAGATAGACAGAAAGTGAGAAATGACCCCCCTGGGGGGATGGCCACGCTGCAATCCCTTCTCCTCCATTCGCCTCTTGGGATCTTGGGCACGCACGCACACGCGCCCAGCATGAGTTTAAGCCACCGGGTCGGTGACTCGAACCATGGTCAACTACATGGGAGGCCAGTGCCATAGCCATTACTCCAACTGCTGGTCCCAATAGTGCTTTATTTAATGGTCCCTGTCTCCCATGGAAACAACTCATCAAAGGTAGAATTTTTTTTTTAATAACAAATGAATCCTTAAAATAAATCTTAAAGCAAAAGGAAACTACTTAGCGTAACTAAACACATACACACCTTTTTAAAAAAGATTTATTTATTTTTAGTTTACTATCATTATTCTTCTATTTCAATCAGAGAGAGACAGACAGAGAAAAAGGAGAGTGAGAAAGCAAGCCACCAGGTCCAGGACTTGAATTGTGGTTAGCCATGTGGGAGTCCAGTGCCTCAACCTCTACGCCACCTGCCAGCCCCTGAAACACACACCTTTTATACCCTATCAGATAGGTTTCATTTTTACTCAGGTACAACAAGATAAGGTTAAGTAAGGCACTCAAAATTAGCTTCCAAAAGTAATTCTGTCTAGAAAAACATATTCAGGTCTATTCAGATTTTCCTAACTGCTTTAATTTATGTGTATATGTTTGAGTTTATTTATTTCTTCTTCTCCAATGGAGACAGAGACAGAGATGGAGAGACAGCACCCCCAACAGAGTCTGGCAGTGAGTTCTCCCTGAGCTTCGGCCTGTCCCGTGGGGTGAGCAGTATGCTCAGCGAGGCCTCCAGACGAGAACCCTGAACTTTCCCGTGGGGGACCGCGTCACAGAGGCTCACCTACAGCTCCACCATCGGCCAGCCCCTATAAATTTTCGTTCAGAATCTTGCTTTCCAGGACCAGCAGGTGGCATGGTGGTTAAGATGCTGGACACTCCTACATGGCTGACTGTGGTTTAAGTCCTGGACCTGGTGGCTTGCTTTCTCACTTCCCCTGTTTCTCTCTCCATCTCTGTGTCTCCCTCTGTCAAATTAAAAATAAAGGATGGGGGCCCAGCAGGTGGCGTGGTGGTTAAGGTGCTGGCCACTCCCACATGGCTGACCACGGTTTGAGTCCCGGACCTGGCAGCTTGCTTTCTCAGCCTTTCTTGCTCTCTGTTTCTCTCTGGTCAAATGAAAATGAATGAATGCATAAATAAAATAAGTAATTATATTAAAAAATAAATGAATGAATAAATAAAATTTAATAAATAATTTTTTAAAAAGAATCTTGCTTTCCTCTCTATCCATAAATTTCAAAATAACATGACTACTAATGATAACAGCATCCTACCAGTGATAACAGTAAGTATTTTGGGGCCGGCACGGGGCATAACCGTGCCCCATGGAAGTGCTTTGTCTCCTCTCTGTTTTTCTCTGTCTTTCTACAAGTAAACACCTTCTGGCAACTTAAAAAGAAGAGTAAGTATTTTGAGAGAACTTTTTTCTTTTTCAAGTTCTATAAGCTCGAAATAAAAGAGACCCCTCTAAATTATGATCTTTATTTATTTTTTAAAGAATATTTTATTGTATTTATTCATGCATTTATTTTAATTTGACCAGAGAGAGAGAAAGTGAGAAAGCAAGTCACCAAGACCGACACTGGAACTGTGGTCGGCCACGTGGGCGTGTCCAGCACTTTAACCACCACACCACCCGCTGGCCCCATGATATTTATTTTTAAAAGAAAAGAACAACAGGTTATATTCACGTCATGGATAGACCAGTGAGCCCATCTGCAACCACAAAGCAGATATCTTTCCTCCACTCTCTCCGTAAAATGGGCGGCCCCCTCTAGGTTTTTCGTTTGTGTTTTATTTGCCAGAAGGCTTGAATGTTTACCAGAGACAGCCAGAGAGACCATGGGAGAGGGAGAAAGCACCCCTAGCTGAATGGCCATGCTGTAATCCCTGGTCCCCCACCTCTCTCTCCTTTAGGGATGTTGGGCACTCTCGCGGGGTTCTCGAGCCACCAGCTCCGAGACTCGAAGCACAGAGCTGTGTGGGATCCTGCTCCCTTCACCAGTCTGCAGGCTCACGGCTTTCTTCCCAGTGGACCAAGACTGAGCTGTCCTTGCAGGCCCTTCTGTCCTGCTCATGAGCTGACGCTCACTTGCCCTCCTCCCCAGCTGCTCACTGCACCTCCATCTTCCCCAGCAGCTTTGCAACTTGAGGAGGGCAGAGTCTGAGGTTCCCCCGGGACTGGGCTTCCTGTGGGGACCCCACGGAGGAAGGTACACAGGAGGCTTCCCTGCCAGACGGGAAACGGAGCCCGATGTAACAATGGGCTGCAAACACCACCGCTTCAAAAGAACCCAGACCTGGCACGTCTATAAACGCAGCCTGCTCAAGTGGCAGCTGCCCTCAAGGAAGTTGGAGCAGACCCACGTTTCCAAAACCCGTAACAGCTCTCCTACACGCTCGGTTATAAACACAGCAGAGAGCGCCGCAGACGCAGAAGCTCTAAAGCAGGTTCACACAACCCGACTCAGACAGCGGGTCTCTGCTTTCTCTCTTGGTAAGCAGGGGTCGCCTCCTGAGGCTAGTGTAGAACTTACACTGCATTGATTTTTTTTTTTGGGGGGGGGAGGAGGTTTTTGCTATAGGGCGCATGCACTAGCCAGAAAGACAGAGAGAGACAGAGAGACAGAAGGCAAAAAATCACCCCCCAGGGGGGTGGCCACGCCGCAATCCCTTCTCCTCCATTCTCCATTTGGGACCTTGGGCATGCACGCACACATGCCAGAAGTGACTTTAAGCCACCGGGTCCGGGTCTCAAACCGCGGTCGACTACATGGGAGTCCAATGACATAGCCATTACGCCACTAACTGCTGGTCCCTGTACTGTATGTATGTATGTATGTATGTATTTATTTATTGGAGAGGTTTTTGTTATAGGGTGCATGCGGTCGTTAGACAGAGACAGAGAGATAGAAAGCGAGAAATCGTCCCCCCCCCGGGGGGGATGGCCACACCGCAGTCCCTTCTCCTCCGTTCTCCTCTTGGGATCTTGGGCACGCATGCACACGTGCCCAGCGTGAGTTTAAGCCACCGGGTCCAGGATGCGAACTGCAGTCACTACGTGGGCGTCCAACGACGTAGCCATTACGCTAACTGCTGGTCCCCTGTATTGATTTCTAATTTGCTACGGGTGCTTGTGCTCTCTGAGGAGAGAGACGGACAGAGTGAGGAATCACCCCCTCTGGGGGGACGGCCACCAGCAATTCCTTCTCCATTCTTTTCTGGAGATTTTGGGCATGTGCACACACGTGCCTGGTGTGTTTCTCAAGCCGCTGTGTCTGGGACTCCGAACTGTGCAGTCGGCCATGTGGGATCCAGCTGCCTTCACCATCGTGCGACCGGCTGGCCCAACTTTCGTCTTTTCAAGCATATTCCAGAGCAAACCAGTTGAGTCTTGGATTCTGTGATTTGACAGACATGCTGGGCACGTGTACTTATGTGCCCCAAATCCCCAGGGAAGAATGGAAGCGAAGGGACTGTGGCATGGCCATCTTCCCAGGGGGTGACTTGTCACTCCCTCTCCCTCTCTCTGTCTCTTTCTCTCTCCAGCAGGCACATAAGCCTTATAGCACATAAGTAATAACATAAGATAAATGCAGAAAAATGGATCAGCACCCAGCCACCTAGGCCAAGGAACATCCTAAATGTAAAAATGAGGCAAGGTTGGGAGCATTGCTCTAGGACTAACACACGACATCCTTCCTTCTGCGTTCTGAAGACCCCCATCAATGGGACCAGCAGTTAGCTTAGTGGCTATGTTGCTGGACTCCCACCTA